CACAGAGGAGGAAGTTATAGACTCCTGTCAACCCGACAGAAAAGTGATGAAATGATGAAGCTTGAAATAAGTTTCCCATCCAGCGAGATGTTGGAGCACTGAGGTTGATCAATCAGTTGGAATGCAAGGTTAATATATGGCAGGCCAATATGAAGTCACAGCTTCAGATGGTGAAGAACTGGAAAGGCTGGTTCTTTAAAAAAAAAACTATATGTTTGAATGCTGGGCTGTAGGATTACTCTTTTATTATTATTTATTACTTTTTTTATGCTGCCAGTTTCCCCTACAAGGTGATTCTGGGAGCTTTGCAAGTTATAAAACAAGTTGAGTTGTTGTTAGTTGTTAAGTCATGTCCTACCCACCGCGACCCCATGGACAACGTTCCTCCAGGCCTTCCTGTCCTCTACCATCTTCTGAAGGCCATTTAAGCTCACACCTACTGCTTCAGGGACTCCATCCAGCCACCTCATTCTCTGTCGTCCCCTTCTTCTATTGCCCTCAATCTTTCCCAGCATTAGGCCCTTCTCCAGTGAGACCTTCCTTCTCATTAGGTGGCCAAAATACTTGAGTTTCAACTTCAGGATCTGGCCTTCTGGGGTTGATCTCCTCTAGGACTGACCGGTTTGAACGCCTTGCAGTCCAAGGGACTGGCAGGAGTCTTCTCCAGCACCAGAGTTCAAAGGCCTCCATTCTTTTGCGCTCAGTCTTTCTGATGGTCCAACTTTCACAGCCATACATTGCAACTGGGAAAACCATGGCCTGGACTATACTGTATAAAACAAGTACAAAATAATTAAACATTAAAATGGCACAGGTGAAACTATTGTTAAAAACTGTCCTAAAATTGCAACTGTGGGAGCTAAGAGGTGGATGGGAATGGGGTCTTCTCATCTCATCAGCCACCTCCAGAGGTGAAATCTCTATCGTTCCGGATAAATAATTGTTCAATTTCTTCTTAAAAACTGCCAGGGATGGAGCATCCACAACTTCTGAAGGCAAGCCGTTCCACTGATCAATCTCCTTGATTAGTTACCATCCGTTGCTTCTTGTTCTGTCTCCAGTTGCTGTGGGGAATAGGTTGACCTCCTTCTTTTTTACAACAGACGCTTACAACAGTTTATTTCAGTGGTTCTCAACCTTTTTAATGCCGCGACCCCCAACCGGTCGTAATTCGAGAACTACTCAACCGGTCGTAAGTCGAGGACTACTCAACTGGTGCAGCACCGTTTGCAGAATGGGACTTTTGGCGGGCTCAGCAGGGCAGAGACAGCCTGGACAATCCTATTGGCTTTTGAAAGCCAATAGAATTAGACTCTATTCAAGAGAGTCTATTCTATTGGCTTTCAAAAGCCAATAGAATAAAAGGGAGTAGCACAGCTAAGGAAAAGGGGGAAAAAATGGCGGACTGTGTTGTTTGGCGACCCCCGTGAAAAGGTCGTTCGACCCCAAATGGGGTCCCGACCCACAGGTTGAGAACCACTGATTTATTTAGTGACTGTTCGAAGTTACAATGGCACTGAAAAAAGGGACTTACGGCCGTTTTTCCCACTTACGGCCTTTGTAGCATCCCCATGATCATGTGACCAAACTTCGGATGCCTGGCAACTGGTTCATAGTTAGGACGGTTGCCGTGTCCCTGGGTCATATGATCACCTTTTGTGACCTTCTGTCAAGCAAAGTCCATGGGGAAGCCAGATTCGCTCAAGAACTGGGTGACTAATTTAACGCCTGCAGTGATTCACTTAACAACTGTGGCAAGAAAGGTCGTAAAACGGGGCAAAGCTCACGTAGCAAATGTCTCACTTAACAACAGACATTTTGGGCTCAATTGTGGTCATAGGTCAAGGACCACCTATATTGGAACACTGCTATCGTGTCTCCCCTAGTCCTTCTTTTCCACTACACCCAGTTCCAGCAACCGTTCTTCATATGTTGTAGCCTCCAGCCTCACTAATCATCTTTGTTGCTCTTCTCTGCACTCTTTCTAGAGCAGTGGTTCTCAACCTGTGGGTCAGGACCCCATTTGGGGTCGAACGACCATTTCACGGGGGTCGCCAAACAAGGTTGTCCGCCATTTTTTCCTCCTTTTCTTTGGCCATGCCCCTGGCACCTGGTGATGTATAAGTGGTTGGGGGTCACCACAACATGGGGAACTGTATTATGGGGTCGCGGCATTAGAAAGGTTGAGAACCACTGTTCTAGAGTCTCAACATTGTTTTTTTTTTTATCTCAAGCCATTCCATGGCTCTGTCAGGAAATGTCTCCTTATTTCTAAGTTGGATCTATCTTTGATAAGCGTCCGTTACTTCTTGTCCTGACCTCTGGTGCTTTGGAGAACAGCTCCTTGCTCTTTAGGACAGCCCCTCAAATATTCAGCTACCTTCAACAGAGAATTCTTCTGCTGGTTCTCGGCAGCCTGATAACAGATGAGGAAGGGGTGAGCTTGATGGCCCAAAGGACCTTTTCTGACTCCATGATTCTAATTTGGTAAATAATTCAACTACCCACGGACCCCCAAATCACAGGAGACTGATCTGGTAGTCTCAACATTCCTTGATCTTGACCAAATTAAAGTTAATTCTGCAGTGGATTGTCTTCTCTTAAATTTTTCCAAGAAGCCAGGTCCACTAATATAAAGTGCCTGGTCAAGGGCATAAAACAGTCATTAAGATGTTTTGTAGATTCGTACTCATCTTGATAGAATAGAATAGAGCTGGAAGGGACCTTGGAGGTCTTCTAGTCCAGCCCCCTGCTTAAGCAGGAGAACCTATACCATCTCAGACAGGTGATTGTCCAGTCTCTTTTTAAAAACTTCCAGTGATGGAGCACCCACGATTTCTGGAGGCAAGCTGTTCCACTGGTTGATTGTCCTCACTGTCAGGAAGTTTCTCCTTAATTCCAGGTTGCTTCTCTCCTTGATCAATCCTTGTTTCTCATCCTTCCCTCTGGTGCTCTGGTGAACAACCTGACCCCCTCTTCCTTGTGGCAGCCCCTCAGATACTGGAATACTGCTATCATGTCTCCCCTGCTTCTTCCTTTCTTTAGTTTGATGCTGAAGATCAAAACCCTACCATTCTCAGCCAAGGGGGAAAATGTCCTAGAAAACTATGTAGCGTTGGTCTCTTGAAGAAACCAGTGGAATTGCTTCCTTAAGAACCTGCTAGCTCGCTAAGACTCAAGATGTTGCCAAACAGCTAAAAGCTGGTTTGGAGAGACAAGGTAAAGAAGAAGAGCCGTCAATCACTCTAAAAGGGCTAGCTGCACAGATGTCTATGTGCATTGGACACCGGATGTTTCCACTTCCTCTTCAGACCCTTGACTTTTCAGACCAGTGCTTCTCAATTTTAGCAACAGCCAAGATATGTGGATTTCAACTCTGAGTGTTGTAGTCCACACATCTTAAGACCTGCCAAGGTTGAGAAATGCTACTTCAAACATTCCAGAGATCGAGATGAATGAATGTTAGGAATCTGGAAATTGACTTTCAGGATGGCATGCGTCTGCATCTCGCTTTGTGTTTTTCCCTGCCTTGCAAAATTTACACTCTACCTAAGCCAAGGCTTGACCTTCAGTGGAATTCTACATGGGCCTTTACTACAAATCCCTGGCCACCTAAGGAAATATGAAGAGGGATCCTAGAGGTCGTAATTTGCACGTGAACTTATTTTTCTGCATGTTCTCCCTACCCCTGAAAGAGAAATAAGTGACATTTGTAAGGTGTTGTTGTTAATTGCGAAGTCGTGTCCGACCCATCGCGACCCCATGGACAACATTCCTCCAGGTCTTCCTGTCCTCCACCATCTTCTGGAGTCCATTTAAGCTCACACCTACTGCTTCACTGACTCCATCCAGCCACCTCGTTCTCTGTCGTCCTCTTCTTCTATTGCCCTCAATCTTTCCCAGCATTAAGCCCTTCTCCAGTGAGTCCTTCCTTCTCATTAGGTGGCCAAAGTATTTGAGTTTCAACTTCAGGATCTGGCCTTCTAAAGAGCAGTCAGGGTTGATCTCTTCTAGGACTGACTGGTTTGAACACCTTTGTAAGGTGTAAGGAACTGGAAATAAGGAATTTATCCTAGTGGGGCAAAGTTAAAGCACGTCGTTTTAATGCGTCTTTTGATCCAAGAAAATTAGCATGCCTCCAATTATTTCAGTGGACCCTGTTGCTAAATTTAAATCATAGAATCCACGGGCTAGAAGGGAACCTTGGAGGTCTTCTAGTCCAAATCCTTGTTCAAGAAAAGAGTTTATACCATTTCAGTCAAATGGTGGTCCAGTCTATTTTTGAAAACTCCAGTTATGGAGTACCCACGACTTCTGGAGGTAAGCCCTTTCATTTATTAAATCTTCTATCAGGAAATTCTGCCTTAGTTCTAGGTTGGTTCTCTCTTTAGTGATCTTCCCTCCATTGCTTCTTGTCCTGCCCTCAGGTGCTTTGGAGAATAGGTTGACCCCCCCCCCCATTTCTCTGTGACAGCCCCTCAAGAATTGGAAGACTGCTACCATATCACCCCTAGTCCTTTTCTCCACTAAGGCTAGACATACCTAGTTCCCTCAATCGTTCATCCTACAATTTAGCCTCCAGACCCTTTATCATCCCAAAGATGCTTTTTCCAAAAGGCAACTGGGCTTTCTTTGTTTTTTCTTTGAAAACATTTCACTTCTCAACCAAGAAGCTTCAGTTCTGACTGACTGGTGGAGAATGGAAGGATTTGTATTCTTTGCAGTCATCTGGCTGTCAACACTCATAGGGTTGGATGTTAGCTTTGAAAAAGCTAACCAGTCAGTTAGAACTGAAGAAGCTTCTTGGACGAGAAGTGAAACATTTTCAAAGTCCAGTTTGCGTTTTGGAAAAAGCACCTTTGGGACCACCGTAGCTTGGATGATTGAGAATCTCCATAGACATCAACCCTTTCTCATCTCTGCTCCTCTTCCCTCCACAAATCGCGAGACCCTTTTGGCACGCAGCTTCCCATCCCACCAAGCCACAAGCCGACATCAGATCAACAGAATTTAATCTAGTTTATTCTCAAAAAAAAAAAGAGGAAAAATATGAAAACGAAAAACCAAAGCGCAGTTCTTAAACACTAGCAGCAAGTAAAATTTGTACAACCATTCAAATCTGCAGTTGTAGGATGAAATAAATCTACACCTTGTCTTATCTGAGAGCTTTTTTTGAGCTATACATACAAACGACAATTACAAGAACTGGTTCACAATGCGAATAGGCCCTAGACAAACCGGCTTGCGAGAAACAAGCTGCGTGTCACACCAAAGTGTCCCTGTTACCCTTCAACCCCTTTTCCATTGATCAGAGGCCTGTGGCCTAGAATGGATGACTTGCTTACAGCTTGGATGTAATTTATTTTTAATCCATCAAAATAATTTCAGCCAGCATGTGAGGAGAGAAAGACAAGAGAGAGAAAGTGAGAGAGCGAAACAGCAAAAAAGCATAAACTGGCAATTTGTCCATTTGCCAGTTTGACCTCATTCTTCGCAGACCGTACCATAAAATGTTTCTGGTGATACCCGATTTGTACTATTTGTACTTTTCTTTTTTGCTTTTTTCTCCCCCCTCCCCCCCCCCTTTTTTTTTTTTTACAGCTACCCGGTTGTCAGCTTTCCTCCAAAAATGTACAATATTTCTTACAATATAAGTTATACAGTGTTCAGCAATTATTTGCTTTAATTTCAGTGAGAGGGAGGAAGGAAAGGGAGGGAGGGAGGGTGAGTGGCGTGGGTTGTTTCTTTGTTTTTTTTTTAATTATTTATTAATATTATAATTATTATTATTTCACAGCACTAAAAACCCAGTTCGACAGTGAAGTTGCGTGGCGATGGTTTATTCACAAATGGCCTCCCGATTCAGTGGTGGAGAAACACAAAACGTTTTCGAGCCGAGCAGTCAAGCAGTCAACTTTCCGTACCAATCTTTGCTTTGTTTCTTTCATTGTGAGGATTTTCAGCCAGTTTTACAATTTCCATCTTTCTTATTTTTTTCCCCGTTTTAGCATCTGCATCCAACAGTTTTTTGAAGGGCCAGGAAGGCTTCCCTCCAACGAGGCAAATATATAAAGATATTTCTCGTTCAGAGAAGTAAAAAAAAAAAAAAAAGGAATTTGGTTTCTTCTGTCTTTCTTTTTTTTTTTCTTTCTTTTTCCACCTTTTTCTTTTAAGCAGGAAAATCTCTCTTTCCCCCCCCCCCTTTCCCCCTGTCTGAGAGGCCTTCTTTAGCCCATGGCGGTCACCATACTTGATGGGTGGTGAGGTCCGAAAGACAAACTAGAAGAAGGGTGCATCGGAGTTGGTGTGGTCAGCATGTGGCCCGAATGGCTGAAGGGAGAAATATGACTGATGGACGACATGTGTCTGGAAAGGGCGGCGGGATTGAAGGAGCTGCTTTTGGGGAAATCATCCAGGCTGTCGTGAATCTTTTTGCTCTTTTTTGACTTGCTAGACATCTTCCGGTTTCGGGTCTGGATGCCTTCCTTCTTCATGGTCAGGGGTCTGTTAATCTAAACAAAAAATCAATTAACTTTCTTTGCGAGCTGGTCCTGTCTCCGGCTTTGCCAAAAAAAATCTCTCCCTCACAAACGCAAATACCGCACAACGACAAAGTTCTAGAGCAGTGTTTCTCAGCCTCGACCGCTTTTAAAGGGTGAGTGGACATCGGTTCCCAGAATTCCTTGGCTGGCTGGGGAATTCTGGGAGTTGAAGTCCACACGTCTTAAAATGGCGGACGTTGAGAAACACTATTTGGGCAAAAGATGGCAAACTTTTTTTAAAAATGGCCAGGAACATTCCTTTAGGTACATGTAGTCCTCTACTTATAACAGTTTGTTTAGTGACCGTTCGGGCTTACGACGGCACTGAGAAAAATGACTTATGACCAGTTTTCACCCTTACGACCCCATAAAATGGTCGCGGGATCAAAATTCAGACCCTTGGCAACTGACTCATATATACGACGGTCGCAGCGTCTCAGAGTCATGTGATCCTTATTGGCGACCTTCTGACAAGAAAAATCAATGGGGGAGCCAGATTCGCTTAACAACCATGTTACTCACTTAACAACTGCAGTGATTCACTTAACAACTCTGGCAAGAACCGTCGTAAAATGGGACAAAATTCACGTGACAAATGCCTCGCTTAGCAACAAAACTTTGGGGCTCAGTTGTGGTTGTTAAGTCGAGGACTACCTGTATATAAACTAATTAATATATATAAAAATGTATATAAACAGCCCTTGAGCTACAAGCATTCATTTAGCAACCATTCAAAGTTACAACGGCACTGAAAATCGTGACTCAGAACCAATCCTTACATTTATTATCATTGCGACATCCCCAGGGTCATGTGATCAACATTTGAATGCTTGGCAACTGGCATGTACTTAAGACAGCTGCAGCATCCCAAGGTCATGTGATCACCATTTGCGACCTTCTCGGTCGGCTTCCGGCAAGCCAAATCAACTGGGGGAACCTGAGTTCACTTAGTAAACTGCATGATTCCCGTCACAGCAGTGATTCACTTAACAACTGTGGCAAGAAAGGTCATAAAATGGGGCAAAACTATCTGGCTTAGCAGTAGAAGATTTGAGGGCTACATGTATTCCCACATTCCTTTAAGAATATTGTTTGAAGTCAAATTCACTTAATGACTGCATAGTTAGTCATTGCTCTGCTTTCTGATCAGAGGGGCTTTGTTTTTAGATGGTCAGTGATGATGGGAACTGTAGTCCAGCTCCATAACAGAATAACAGAGATGGGAGGGACCTTGGAGGTCTTCTAGAGCAGCCCCCTGCTCAGGCAGGAGGCCCTATACCAGGGGTCTTCAAACTTGGCCCTTTTATGACTTGTGGACTTCAACTCCCAGAATTCCTCAGCCAGCCTCCATTTTGTTTGTTAGATTTAAGACAGGGATCCTCAAACTTGGCCCTTTTATGACTTGTGGACTTCAACTCCCAGAATTCCTCAGCAGCCTCCATTTTGTTTGTTAGATTTAAGACAGAGGTCTTCAAACTTGGCCCTTTTATGACTTGTGGACTTCAACTCCCAGAATTCCTCAGCCAGGCACACTGGCTGAGGAATTCTGGGAGTTGAAGTCCGCAGGTCTTAATGTTGACAAGGTTGGCCACCCCGGAGGTAACACAACGATATTATCTCTGAGAATCAGCTGAGCGTATGACCATGTCACTTACATTGTGGAGCTTGAAATATAGCCCACAGGCATTACACACTGGATCCCCGTTGGCATTCCTCCTCCACAGAGTGGTGGTTGTGGTCTGGCAATTTGCACACGATGTCCCAGCCCGTCTTGCAGCTGACTGAGGGAGAAGAGAGAAAGCATAGTCACCTCACCAATAGATTAACGTGGGGGGCGGGTTTCAAGATCCTAAACCAGTGTTTCTCATCCTTGACAACTTTAAGATGGTGGACTTCAGCTCCCGGAATTCCACAGCCAGCTCCCAGAATTCCACAGCTGGCTAGGGAATTCTGGGACTTGAAGTCCACCCATCTTCGGCTTGCCAAGGTTGAGGAATCCGGCCCTAAATCCTTGCGGTGCATCCCAGAGAAGCAAAGCTAGCCCATTGCAATAAATCACGCATCAATTCATACAATTCTTCAGAGGTTAGAAGATCCAAGTGGAATTATGTAGTCACACCACGGTTTTATCTGGGTAGGATTGCATCTTTCCCCAGCAATCGTGCATGTGTGTGACAACATCAGAGTAAAGATGGTGATGGTGAAACACACGAGATTTTAATCAGCAAGAATCCCATTGATTCGTTCAAAGTTGCAAAAGTCCTCATCGGTAACAACAGAAGCCACACAAAAATAATATTTGTTTGAAGCTCAGCATTGCTATTTCTCTTGTCAATTATCCAGAACCCAATGAAATTGAAACTTCAAAGAACCAGGACAGAAATATGGTTTTTACAGAACGTGCAATTAAACTTTAGTGCTATCATAAGATGTGCTGCTGGCTGGTTGGCTTCAACAAGGTTTGGACCAATCCATGAAAATATGAAGATCGACAACTATTAGTCTTGATAGCAGTGGGCCTGCCTCTGAAGACCATCTACTCCTCAATTTACAACTGTCCATTTAGTGACCATACAAAATTACAACAGCGCTGAAAAAAGGGACTTAGGACCATTTTTCACACTTACGACCGTTGCAGCATCCCCAGGGTCACCTGATCAATTCTGGACTCTGGCAACTGGCTCATAGTATGATGGTGGCCGTGTCCAAGGGTCATGTGATCCCCTTTTGCGACCTTCCAAAAAGCAAAGTCAGTGGGGGAAGAAGCCAGATTTACTTAACAACTGTGTTATTAATTTAACAATGGCAGCGATTCACTTAACAACTGTGGCAAGAAATGTCGTAAAATGGGGCAAAAGCCACTTAAAAACTGTCTTGCTTAGCAACAGAAATTTTGGGCTCAGTTGTGGTCATAAACTGAGGACTGCCTGTATGTTTCTGAAGCACGCAGCGGTGACCCACTTCTCTCCATCAAGGTAGCATAACTATGGGGCTTCATTCAGTAGAAACATCCATCTCTCTTTCTTGGAGCCACAACTTTTGATGGCCTTTTGAGAGCATGGCACTTGCTCACAAAATGGCCGCCTTCAGGGATGGCGTTTCCGGCTCATAAAATGGCCGTCGAGAGGACGGCAGCGAGAGCCAAGACCCCCGCTGAGCAGAAATTAACCAGCAGGCCCGCTCCACACAACCTTCTCAAGATCCTCCCTTAAAATTTCAGCTTAGCTTTGCCTTCCTTCTCCTGGTGAGACGGGCAAACATCCAAGCCAACGAGACCCCTGGTTCATTATTTCTTTAAAAAGCCTGCGGGGGGCTCAAAACATTCTTTTCTCCAAGGGATTGAGATTGGCACTTTGATTTCGAGCTTGCCCAGTTTCCACCGTAACGTGTTTCTTTTTTATATAAATTTAAAAAATGGGAAACGGATAGACCACGGAGGTGACGGATGCCAAGGAAGGCGTCCTTGGAGATTTGGATCCACACAAGGGGTATGGATGGTGTGGGCAGTTAGAAGCATTATCCGTCCACCCACCTACATCTCCTTCAATCTATTTTGCTTCTCTGATGGGCAATCTGCCCATCCCACAACTAGGCCTGAACCACACATCTCCTAAGACGGAGTTAATTAAGGATGCTAGGCATCCAAAATTGTTCTCCTTGACATTCCTCTCCCTATTCATCTGAGGCTGGAGTCATATGCTCTGCAGACAGCATGTAAACAACGGCTCAGCCATCATCCACCCCAAAAAGATCAACCGATCTTATTCAGTTAAGTTCTTCTTGCAGCTCTCCATGACTAATGAAGCTCAGCAGCGGCTAACACACTTAGTCAAGCCATATGCATCAGCTTTATCCCATACAAAACACTAATGTAAAAGCTTCTTCCGGGGAAACATTAAGAAGCTTTGCGTAGTTGTGTTTTTTTTAACTAGCACAGTCAGGAATGGATGTGGTATGCCCTATCTGTAAAACAATGTCAGTGCTCAACAATTGAGTTCTGTTCTTCTGACCAAATAGAGAGTCTAAACATCGGGATCAGATTAAAAAGAAGGATGCTTTTAAACACATTATTTCTTAGATTGGTTAAAGGGGAAACAGAATACTGTAGAGTTATGTATTTCTCTGAGTTCTCTTTGACTAAAAATGCTGCAAACATCCAATAATAATAATAATAATAATAATAATAAAGTTGGAAGGGGCCTTGGAGGTCATCTAGTCCAACCCCCTGCTCAGGCAGGAAACCCTACACTATTTCAGACAAATGGCTATCCAGTCTCTTCTTAGAAAGTTCCAGTGTTGGAGCATTGACAGTTTCTGGAGAATCTTTTGTTATTTGCAAACTTTCCAAGATCTCTACAGGCTAGTCCTTGACTTACAACAGTTTGCTTAATGGTGGTTCAATGTTACAACGGCACTAAAAAAAGTGACGTATGACCATTTTTCACACTTATGACCACTGCGACATTCCCCATTGTCACGGGATCAAAATTCAGCCATTTGGAAATTGACTCATATTTATGACACAAATCTGGGGCTCACAATTGTGGTGGGAAGTCAAGGACTACCTGTATTTGTGATTTCCCAAGGCACTGCCCAAATAATATTAAAACCTAGCTTTGTGACTTTATGGACTAAGAAACATGTTGTTGTTGTTGTTTTCCCACTAAAATCTAAACATTTAAAAGCACTACCACAAAATATCCACAGCTTTGCGGAAATAGTCAGATAACATAAAAAGAAAACCTACAGGGTCTACTTTAATTTTTTTTAAAAAAACAAAAAATACTTCCAGGGAATAGCACAGTCAAACTATGCCTGAGCATTAAACCAGGTTTAATTTTCTTGCTGACAGCAGTGGAATCTGAACAGGTTTCACTTTGACTAAATTGAGTCTGCAGTGCCTTTTAAAATGACTGTTGTGTCAGTTTACAGTTGATTCATACAGTACGTGTTTTTTTTTGTCAGTGAATCATGCCGTATCTTGGAATTCTCAAATATTGGCATCTATTCCCCCACCATAGCTAGTCCTCAACTTATGATTAATTGATAATTGATGCACTTGATAAAAGGCCTGATCTGGACAGAAATCCAGAGAATTGTCAAGCCTTGCTCAAGACATCAGTTAGAATTACAGGGAGTTTATTTTTTTACAGGTAGACTTACAACCATCCATTTAAGAACTACTACTACTACTACTATTATTATTATCGATCATCGCACAGTCAGCCAGATGTTCAGACTGGATTTGGCATTTTGTCTACCTATCGAGTCCTTACCCAGGACCTGGGATAGGCAGATGTGGATGTTTGATGGTATTACAGATATCGTCGCAGGATGGAAGCAGTTCCTAATAAGGCCGCCTTTTGCAATTGACTAATAGCGAATTTGTCAATGCCAATGGTGTTCAAGTGGTGCTCCAGTTGTTTTGGGATTGCACCCAAGGAGCCTATGACTATTGGTACTACCCTTGCTTGCTTTTGCCACAGTCTTTCTATTTCTATTTGTAGGTCTTTGTATTTTGTTATCTTCTCCAGTTCTTTCTCTTCTATTCTGCTATCTCCAGGCACTGCCACATCCACTATCCAGACTTTTTTGTTGTTGTTGTTGTTGTTGTTGTTGTTATTATTATTATTATTATTATTATTATTATTATTATGGATCATCGCACAGTTAGACAGATGTTCAGACTGGATTTGGCATTTTGTCTACCTATCGAGTCCTTACCCAGGACCTGGGATAGGCAGATGTGGATGATGATGATGATGATGATTAATGTTACGTAGCTGGGTCCTGAAAGGTCTGCAAGAAAACAAGGAAGCTCAGGGAGCACCAAGGACTCCTCATTTCAACCCTGACCTATAAATATTCTCCTTTATTCAGGTTTTATTGTTCCCAAACCACTAAAAAAACCTACGTCGCAAGACACTTGGAGAATCCGAGAAGGGGAAACCACTAAGACATCAAACTCAGATCCAGAAATCAAGCATCTAACGAAACTAGATTCATAGAAGAGAGAGTTTTTAAAAAGCCCCTGGAATCAGGAAGGAAAATTTTTAATTCTCAAGGAAACCAGTGCTTTTGGGGGGGGGGGAATTTAGCAAGAGTTCAGTGGAAGCCACCAGGCCAGATTTATTTGTGCCGCGGAAGACTTAAGAATTACTATTATGCTTTTGGCTGCTCAACCAATGGGTTCATCCCCAACGACGGCTCTTGCAGAGAAGTTAGAGCAGGAGCCTTCAAACGTGGCCCTTTTATGACTTGTGGACTTCAACTCCCAGAATTCCTCAGCCAGGAACGCTGGCTGAGGAATTCTGGGAGTTGAAGTCCACAAGTTATAAAAGGGCCAAGTTTGAAGATCCCTTGACTTGGGGACTTCAACTCCCAGAATTCTTCAACCAGGAATGCTGGCTGAGGAATTCTGGGAGTTGAAGTCCACAAGTCATAAAAGGGCCAAGTTTGAAGACCCCTGAGTTGGAACTACCACTCAACAAAAGAAAATATGGAAGTTGTAGTTTCAGCGAATCTTGAGTCATGGATGATCAGGCAACCAGTTTGGTGGCTTGGCCATGACAACTGTGTGTCTTCCATTCCCTTTTCAGCTCTATTTTCATCCTAGGCATGCAGTCATATATAGATCAGCAGTCTCTTGCAGAGAAGTTAGAGCAGGGGCCTTCAAACGTGGCCCTTTTATGACTTGTGGACTTCAACTCCCAGAATTCCTCAGCCAGGAATGCTATAGAAATATCTGTCTTCTTTTGCACTTGGCCGCAATGGGGTGTGT